TTCCCTAATCTCTGGAGAAGTAAGCACATATAATTTTTGGTTTGTTGGTTTTTAAAATATAAATAAAACTATAATATTCCTAGTACTCTGCAATTTACCCTTTTTCATTCAGCAGTATGTCTTGCAGATCTTTCTGTGTCCATGCTACAGAATTTACACACAATAGACACTCAAATGTTTGCAGAATGAATCTTAGATTTCAATTACATACTCCTTTCATCTAAAACAGGCAGTGTACTTTTTGCTCCATTTTCATCTAACTGAAGCATTTTTCTCCAAGGTTATAGGTTATTATGGATCTCCTCTCCTTTTTGGTTATTCTTAATCAAGATCTCTTTCATGGCAGGTATGGCATAGTAATAAAGATTATTTTCATTAAATATCAATAAAATGTGTATGTGAGAGTGTGTGTAGTAGTATTTTATTGGATAATTTTTACATGTAAGTGCCAAATCTAACTTATTTTCAGATGTCTCGTGTAAATTTCCAACTTCTTTACTATTTCTGTACCTCAGTAGTTCTCAATCTTTGGTGTGCATAAGATTTACTGGGGGACTAATTATTAAAACCCAGATTTCCGGGCCCCACCTTCAGAGTTTCTGATTCACTTGGTATGACGTGAAGCCTGCAAATTTCCAACAAGTTTCCGTGTGATGCTGTTGCCGATCCACATTTCGAGGATCACGATCTATAAGACTCTCCCCTGATGCTTTCTGCCTCCTAGGATATCCTCATCTCTTCTCAGCACTCACTGTTTACTGCACATAAGAACTACATCTTAAAGAGAGCATTGAAAATGGCTGTGGCCTGTGGACAACGAGGCTTGGGGTGTACGTGCCCTTCCAGAGTGGGACCAGCAGGGGTTCTAAAGGCAGAACTGAGAAGAATGACAGTTCTGCCCATGGCTCAAACCACAAATTAAGGAACGGTTTCCACCTGTGCAGAGGGTGGACCGAACTATCGGTTGCCCATTAGTCTGTACAGCAGCACATGCTCTAGCGATCACAATCTATAGCAGACGCATCATCTTTGAGTATGAAAGATGGCATTATAATGCCACTACATCCAGAAAACAATGATTTATTTTCTTCACTTCTTGATAGTAGCTCAGCCAAGTAAAATTCCAGGTATTAAGTGAGCTGATGCATCCAGTCAAATAGTTACATGTATTTCATTGTTATTATCAATTCATTACTGGTGTGATTTGCCTTGTAAAGTGATTGTACAAGAATCCAGAATTCGGGGTGGTGGGGGTGGTGGTGTGATGAATTGGGCAATTGGGATTGACATGTATGTGTATAAAATGGATGACTAATAAGAACCTGCTATATAAAAAAATAAATTAAATTAAAAAAAAAGAATCCAGAATTGGTGAGACAGAAAAGAATTTTTTAAAAAAAATTCATCACACAGTTCCTCTCTACAAATGTAGTAAAATTATTATATCTTTAATCATTTGATTTACAAAACCTGCTTGCTCATACATATATTAGGCAGAGAAAAGACATCATTTTATAAACTTGATTATCCAAAATACAAATGTAATGTATATATGTAAAGCTTATATAATGGAGTATTTATTCTTTAGAATTATGAGATATATGAGATATAATTGTACTTCTAAGAATTTAATCTGTTAGATAAATTGTAATTCTTGTAAAGGTTTACATATTTATATTTGGATCAAACATTTTAATGATGCTGCATAATTAGTGCACTAGAAATCAGGAAAATGCATGGGGTTGATAAGTATATTTGATCCATGTTGCTTCTTTGCTTGAAATATTTGTGTGAAGAAATTTTGCCATTGCTGGAAATGGAGTCTAAAAAAAGAATGCCTGAGTGTTTTAACTGTTAGCTTTCACTAAGCATGCTATCCATAAAAATATCTAATGTTTTTCATGTGTTTGTTTAAACTTTATATAAAGAGTATTATAAAGGTATGTATCATTCTTCAACTTCCTTTTGTCCCTCAACAATTTATTTGTTTTAACTGCCATATAGTATTCCATTTTATATCCATAATTAAGTTTATTTATTCCCCTACAATGGGCATTTAGGTTGTTTCCAACTTTCCATGCTAGAATTCTTCAGTGAATGTGCTTGTGGTATATTTCCTTGAGCACATAGAGTATACAATCTAGAAGTGAAATTAAGTAGCATACAAATATTCAGCTTTACTAGATATTGCCAAATGTTCTCTGAATTAGTTGTACCAAATTGCATTGCCACTAGTATTATATAAAGGTTCTTGTTTCATGTTTTTTCCAGTGCCTGAATGTGAGAGTTTTAAATTTTGTCCAGCCTGAAAAGTGTGAAAGTGCATTTCATTTTTTTATATTTAATATTCTTAATATTCCTAATTACTGGCAATAGACAGAGGCTGTACTTCTTTCCTTATTTTTATTAGTTATTGGGTTTTTCTTTTCTGTGATCTATCCAGTTATATACTGTATCAGTTTTTCTACTGTGTTGTCTTTTTTTTTTTAGTGATTATAGGTCTCTATATAACCTGAATACTAATCTTATTCTTGTTTATATGCTCTGCAAATACCTCCTCCAGGTCTGTGGCTTATAGTTTAATTTTATTTCATGGTAATCTTGGTGTTGCAAGTTTTTAATTGTGGTGTAATAAATATTATTAATCTTTTCCCTTAAGGCTTGTATTTCTTCTTTTTCTTTTTGTCTTGTGGAAGAAAACTTCCTTAGTCTAATAGTCTCAGAAAGTTTTAGAATGTGCCTTTTACATTAGGTTTTTTTTTTTTTTTCCCGGTACGCGGGCCTCTCACTGTTGTGGCCTCTCCCGTTGCGGAGCACAGGCTCCAGACGCGCAGAGTCAGCGGCCATGGCTCACGGGCCCAGCCGCTCCGCGGCATGTGGGATCTTCCCGGACCGGGGCACGACCCCGTGTCCCCTGCATCGGCAGGCGGACTCTCAACCACTCCGCCACCAGGGAAGCCCTTACATTAGGTTTTTAGTCTATGTAAAATTGTTGTCTATGCTATAGGGAGCAGCAATTAATTTTTTTTATATGGGTTATGATTGGTACCAGCATCATTTATTGACTAATCCATCCTTTCATCACTAATTTGTATGTTTGGGTCTGTTTGAGTTTTTTATTATGTTCCATTATTCTATTGATATTTACTTATTTCTGCAATAGCGGAAAACATGCATTTCTATTTTTCTGTGAATTCATTCCATGGCCACCTTGGAATGTTTCCAAGCCTTTTAAAATTTCATTTGGACAAACAATAACCTATGGACATTAATTTGGTTCCTGATATTGAATCAATATGGTAGTCATTAGTGTAGTCTACCAAATGTTTCCAGTTTTCTGCCTTCAGGGAAATAGTAGGATTGCATTTTCTACTCTCTTTGAATTTAGTATGAACATACAACTTATTTCTCAGTGGGCCCATTCTTGAGCAGAAGCTTTAAATAGAAGCTCCAGGAACCAGCCTGTGATTTGTCACATTTTCCAATCCAGCCTGCCTAGTCAGTCGTGGAAGCATGGAGATGGAAATTTTTTGGTGGACATAGAGATGGACATGGCACAGATGACCTTCAGTGGACCTGCAGTTGAGTGAAAAACAAATATTTGTTGTCTTAAACCACTGAGATTTTTGGAGTTGTTCATTGTTCCAACATAATCTGGCATTTCCTGGCTAATATAGTTAATATTGTGTAATTTGCAATTTGATGATTGGGAAAATGGTAAACAAACATCTTACTTTTGTTAGAAGGTAATTAGATTTTAATGTCTCTTTTTTTTCAATTTCTTCCCCTCTTCCTTTCAATTGTGTCACCCTTAGTGCACTCATATTCCCCAATACCCATGACCTGTCAAACCAATTGGAACCAATTTTTGAGGGCCTCTCCCAGCCTGCAGTTTCTCACCTGGCCTGTATTTCTTCCCTCAGGCGTACATTTCTTCTCTTTGAGTGTTTACATTTTTAAAGATGATGCCTAGAAAGATAAATGTTTTACCTGAAGTCTTTAATGATAAAGATCGACATTATGACCCTATAGTGAAAAGTCATTAACGCAAAGCTGGCTGTCTCAGTTTCCTCTTATTATCACATTAGTGTCTGCTGACTTGATATATGTTTTAAACTGGTTCTGATATTAAAATCCGTAATTCTTTGTTGAGGTTGATCACATTCACATTTACTGACTCTTGTAGTTCTGGAATGTTAAGGATAAAAGTGTAAAGATGAGAAGTGGAGGGGACACTAAGAAGATACATCCCAGGCAGAAGTATCTTTTTCACATAATCTCTCCACCGATGAAAATTTCTTTTTAAACATGCAAAACCATCTTATATTATGGGGGGCGGGGGGGTTGGGCAGTGATGGAAGGGAGAAAGATGGGAATTAAAACCCAGAGAACTACATTTTTACTGTTCACACTTTGATGTGAAATATATGAATCCCTGGATTAGAATGTTTGCCTCCTAACACCTAGAAGGTGTTAGGAGAGGCAGTGGACAGTCTGATGGTGATGTGAATAGTTTTAGAGCGTGGAACACGGCAAACTTACTGAGTGGTGGGCCCGCCCTAGAAGCTTTGGATTTGACAGGAGAACACAGGGTTTCTCAGACAGAATGCAGGTGTGAGAAGACATGTGGTAGCAGAGGCATCAGCTAAATTCCTATTTTGTAATATATTAAAGACTCCTGGTGAGTGTTGGAGACATCCAGAAAAATCATGTCAAGTATCAAAAACTACCGTTTATACCTGTTATAGTTTCACTAAAGAGTATAAGCCCCTCTGATATTGGAACTTTCTTGCCAAACTTCTGCTCCTGAAAAAAAACGAATGTTGACTGGTTAATTAAAGTTTATCTCTCTCTCTTTTTAGGTGGTTCTTTGGAGCAATCAAGAGGGCAGATGCTGAAAAACAACTATTATATTCAGAAAATCAGACAGGTGCTTTTCTAATCAGAGAAAGTGAAAGTCAGAAAGGCAACTTCTCCCTTTCAGGTATGGGCATTGTTCTGTGTGATTTAAATGTGGATTTGAGAGTATGTAGTCATGAATCTTCTGTGTGAACATGGACATGTTAATTTTAAATTTGCCTTATCTGTTATCTTCACGATAGTACCAAAATTAAATCTATTGAACTACTCAAGAGTAATGTAAAAATTAGCAAAACAATTTCTCTCTGTGGCTAGATGTGACTATAAATGTTTCAAATACACACACTCTAGGTATGAGATGAAAAATATATGGATCTGCCTGTGTTTTCTCACTTTTGCATTATCTAGGAGCCTATCCGTTTAGGGAAATGATAAGCAAAATCTAAATTGTTGTCAAAATTGATCTTGCCATAATACCCATTTTTTTTTTTCTTTTTGCATTTCATTTGTCTTTGCCTGGTAAATAGAAAATGAATTAAAATGCTGAATGCAAATGTGCCTAATTAACCAATGACATGTAACATTTGGTCAAATGTAGTTTTCCAGCTGAGAGTCAAGTGCATGTTTACTTTACAATACCCTAGGAAAGAAAAAACACAGGAGACCTGAGAATTATCTTTAAGTGTTACAGTTGCTTATATATTAGGTAGTCATTAGTTAGCCAAAAGCTAGATTAAATGTTTTAGATTCTAGCATTAAAAATATAGAAGTAGAATATTTCCATGAGGAAAACAAAGAAAAAGTAGAATTAACTGAGTCATATCTTTGAATAATTCCCAGGCCACAGTGACTATTCTGAACACTTTCTCAGTAGAATATTATGGAGCAAAACAGCTTTACAGGCTTAGAACAAAATTACAAGGATATTGGCTGTTATGTGCTGAGAATACTGTAATTCTTGCTTATGGGTTTAGGAAGCTTTGTAGGCCCTACTTGGAGACTAGCATAACATTATAGATTCCTTTTCAATGAAGTCAAACCATTTAGAGTCTTTCAAACAAATTATCTGATTGCTGTGTATTCACTAGGGGACAAAGTAAATGCAGACCATTATGTCCTACTGAAAGGATAATTTTCTTATTAGCCAGAAGGAGGACTATACAGGAGAAAAATGGAAAGAAAAGGGTCTTCGATATAATCTACATTAAAACGAACAAACAAGTGAACAACCCAATTGCTGACTGTTGATTACCACTAAGGATCTTCAGGTATACCAGGCATGGCTTTATTTCTCAGGGCAGTTGTCTCCTAATCAGTCTGAATTGATGGTCTTCAATTTTGCTGACAGTTATGCTGCTAAAGGAAGGCAAATAATATCCCTTTTCTATCTCTGTCTCTCCCCCGTGAGTTTTCCTTAGAAGTATTGTCTTTATTCCTCAGGCGACAATGGCTCGCAGCTGTCAGAGAAGCGCTTCACAAGGGGGGAATAATTTATTGATGCTGCGGCAGGCTGCCGAGAAACAGCAACCCAAGGTTGGGGTGGGTGCTAATTGGCTTGTTGTGATCCTTGCCTGGCTGTCAGCTCTTGTGAGGTCTGAGTAGAGAGTTGGGGAGACAGTTAGGGCTATGACACCTCTCATAACGGCAAGACACTAATTAGCTGTGAATTACAGCAGTGCTTTTGGATATTATGTATTATACGTGGTAGCCAGAGAATCCGTCTTCATTAGATGCATGACAGGTAGTTTTAGGGGCCTTACTGTTATTTGTCATTGGTAGAGAATTGTTTTTCTGATGAAAAATATAAAATTATGACTGCATGTCAACTAGTTTGCCTATTTCTTGACTTCAGTCAATTACTTTAACGGAAATTATAATTGTTATTGCCATTAATATAAATTTGATGTCTGGCATTCCATAAGCATTTATATTGTTGTGCTTAAAGTACACTTCCGGAAAAATACACCTTGTGGGATAAAACTGAATTTCAGGCGAGTTTTTTCAGAAAGGATTTTGCATTGCACATCGTAATTTTACTTTAGGCAGCTCTGCATAGGAAAATCTCTAGAGTAGTAGAGGGAATTCCAGATTCATTCTCAGCGAAAGCTTTTTAAGAGCGAATGATAACAGATTGAAGATAGTTGAAAAATGACGGAGGACATGAGGCAAAAAAGCTCATCAGCAGTGTTCAGGGTGATGCATCTAGTAACTGGTATCATTTATTTATATACTGTCTATTTCTTGAACAAATATTTGAGTGCCTAGTCTGTGCCAGGCTTCTGCTAGGTCTAGGGCAGCAAGGAGAGTGAGGCACAGTCCCTGGCCCCAGTCTCCAGGAGGGTGATAACACAGCTGTCTGGTGAGACAAGAGGGGGCAGGGGCCAAGTCTCAGAGAGGAGTTAGGAAGGTTTCACAGAAGAGGCAGCACTTGTGTTCAGTGTGTGTCACAAGGTAGCCACGTGGGAAGGATTATTCCCGGCAAGGCAAATGCACAGAGTGGAGGGTAGGGAGTGGGGAGGACAGTGCAGGTGTGTGTGTGTGTGTGTGTGTGTGTGTGTGTGTGTGTGCGCGTGTGTGTAGATGGGGAGCAGAGATGGAAGAGAGGAGGAATGGCCAAAAATGAGCCTGGAAAGGAAAGTTGGAACTAGGCTGTTCAGGGCCTTGTATACCATGCTGAGGAATTTGGAGCTTTTTCTACAGGTCCAAATATAGAGGGAAGTTTTAGGCAGAAAGTGACTCGGTCTGACCTTTGATGACAGAGTGGAGAACAGAACGGATGAAAGATTTATAGATAACAGTCTGGGGAGAAGTGACGGGGCAAACACAGAGGCGTCACTTGCTGCTGCCTGAAATCACAGGTGTGAGACAGAAGGGTCAGTCGGCA